TCATTTTTATCCTATCCTGGTGCCTACATTTCCACAACAATTTTATTCGACGGTTTTGCTAAATTCACTACCGGTTTTATACATCGGGAACAACATTAGCATCCAAACTACTCCGGAGCGCGCTAGTACACTTTGGGAGATAATTAATTATGTTGGAACATCTTCGTGTTCCAATCAAAGCCCTAATGATTAAACGAGGAAGCTGGCTAGGTTGGAGTAAAAAGGAGAATAATCTTCTCAAATTTAATGTTAATGGAGCTGCTAAATCAACAGAAGCAGCTGGTGGAGGGGTTCTTAGGGATTCCAAAGGAAATTTTTTGTATGGATTTTCATTCTTTTATGGGCAGAAATCTGCCTTATGGGCTGAGCTAGAGGCAATTTATGAAGCTAGAAATATTTGTCTGCACATGGGGATTACTAATTGAGTTTTGTTTGCAAAAAATACCTCTGTGAAATCTCCAACTGCATAAAAAGTCCATGTGAAATAAAATATGATTGAAAAACCCCTATGAGTTTTAGTTAAAGGCACTTTCCCCCCTACGCCGGGTTCGTGTGGTTCACTCGCCGTTTGTGCGAGTGGTGATGAAATATTTTATGGAAAAAGATAGAATTGCCCCTGAGATAGTACAATTTGACTTACTTATAAAGAACTCAAAAATATTAGGACCAAATTGCAATTTTTAAAAATTCTTGAAAACATAATCATCTTCTCCACTCCATCTGCGGCGGCTCAATTTCAGTGAGCGGGAACGCCGGCGTTCCACCTGGCTGGAAGGCCAGAGCCTGAATCAGAGCAGGCCTGGATAGATTTCTTTTTTTTTTTCGTTTTTCAGTTTAATAATTTATTTATGTATTAATATATAATAATATATTTATATGTATTTTCACAAAAACCATGTTGGGGTATTTATGTCTATTCAAGCGTGGTGAACGGTTAAATTGCAAATGGTCAAGTGTGTTTGTTATTTTAAAAAGTTTGTAGGAGGTTTCAGTGATATTTTTAACATGGACTTTTTATGCAGTTGGAGATTTTACAGGGGTACTTTTTGCAAAAAAACTCATTACTAATGTGGTGATTGAATCGGACTCCATACATGCTATTCAGTTAAGAGTGGGAGTTTGTGTATATCATTAGAAAGATTCACAACTTTGGTGAGCAAGATGGTGTGTATAAGCACGTCTTTCGTGAGCAAAACATGGTGGCTGACTCTATTGCCAAAGAAGCATTTGTTCATAGAGATAGGAAGGAGTATCCTACTGCTCAACAACTCAATCCTCATACGCAAAAGCTCTTATTCTTTGATCGTTCTGGTTTTCCGTATTATTGTTAGTCGCATGTGGTTACATAATATTAGAATGGGCGGGAGAAGGACACATTCGTCGATCTTCAAAATGATTGGGATCCAATATCGTGGAACGAGTGCGCAAGCACGTCAAGCGAGGAGGTGTTGGGATATATTGGTTATTGGGGTCGCTTTGTCTATTACGGAAATTTCAAGACAATTAGGGTTTTAGTTTTATTTATTATCTTTTATACCCTCTTTTATGGGCCCTTTTGTTATAAAGTGTTTTAGTTTAGGATCTATTTCCGATATTTGCCTGTCACTACTGTAGGGGTACTCTTTTTCCGTGTGTAGACAGCACAATGTTTTAATAAGGTCCCAAACTCTTTATAGTAATGGAATAATAAAAAAAAAGGGGGAAACTACAATTTGCACCCCTGAACTATGGGGTTTGTCTCAAACACCCCCCTAAACTACCAAACGTAACAAAATAGTCCCTGACTTTAACAGTCAAACATTAGGAATTTATCACCGTTAGAAATAATGGGCATTTACATTTTAACCCTTATTATTTTATGCTGCGAAATTATATTAGGGGTGTCCAACTGACGTGGCATCATCTCACTTTTATGTGCAATAAAATGTCCGACTGCTTTGTGTCGATGGATTTCGCCGGAGTGACAGTAGCGGAAGCACTGGCCTTGGATGCATTGGACTTCTAGCGCTGCTGTTGGATTTGGTGGGTCACGACACCTCTTAATTCAATTATTTATTTATATATATTAATAATGTATATCTTTTGTTTAAAAATATAGAAAAGTCACTTACAACTAAATAATATGAAATGATTATTAAAAAACTTCATAAAAAGAGAAATAATTATTAAAATAACATAGATAAAGCAAGATTTATAAATAAATAAATGTTGTGAGGTAAATAATTATTGGAAATAAATAATAGAAATTTAGAAATGCGTAGTAGATTTGAGTTGACTAAAATTAGAAATAAATTGAGAAAAATATCTATGAAGACAAGTGAAGGGGTATATGTGTCCAAATAAATCCATTAAGATAGTCTAAGACGTGAAAAAGAAAAGTCAACCCTCCACATCAGCAGTAATTAACGGAAGGGGAAAGTACAGTTTGCACCCCTAAACTATAGAGTTTGTCACAAACACCCTTCTGAACTTCAAAACGTAACAAAATGACCAATGACTTTAACAGTCAAACTTTAGATTTTTAACACTTCTACTAATAGTGAGTATTTACATATTAACCCTCATTATGTTATGTTGCAATCTGACGTGGCATCATCACCGTGGATAATCATTTCCCTCTCAATAGACACTACAAGAAAAGTAATTTTAAGTAACAAAACTATAGTAACAAACGAATTATTTGTCACAAAAACTAGTTTATTGTAACAAAATGTAAACATTGTCACTAAATGATCATGTTTTGGTAACGATTAGAAAACATTGTTACTAAAACAACTAATTCGTCACCCAAAAGCCATTTTTTCGTAACAAACGGAAACCTTAGTTACAAAAAGTGAATAATTGTCACGAAAATATATTTTGTCTAGTAACAAACTCTTAATTCGTTACAGTAGCATAAAATTGTCACGAGAAGTATTATTCTTTTGTAACAAATTTTATATGTGTTACAAAAAGTTATAAAATATTATTTACCTTTCATTTCTATTGTATATCTAGTGATAATATTACTCCAGCGGGTGTGGAGAAAACAAAGGGGATAAATAAAAGAACATAGTGGCTCTAGGGTTCTAATTTCTCACCGCCGATACACACCTTTATCCTCTTCAATTTCCACCACCGCATACTTTCAAAATTCGTAACATCATCATCTCCGGCATCCGCATACATTAATTGTTACAATAAATTAAGATCTTGTAACAAAATCAACGTTTGTTACCAATACATTAGTAACGAAATTCAGTAACTTGTCACCAAAACTTTTAGCGTCGAGCTTTAGAGGACAACAAACGGTAACGAACATTGTCGTTACCAACCGTTTTCGTGACAAAAAAAGCCCTTTTGGTGACGAATTATATCCTCACCCAAAGCGAGTTTTTTTGTAGTGAGAAATTAAACCAAACCCTTCTTTTTTCTTTCCTTTTTTTTTCGCTTTTGAGAAAACCAAATTCCTCTTTTGAAAAAACCAGCCCGTGCGCCTAAAAATTGGAATTCACGCTGCAATCCAATAATCAGAAAATATCAACGACCGCTCAAGTCTTTATTAAACCAACAGTTTTCCGATGCTGAAATTCTTGATTTTTCAAACTCATTTGCAATATTTTTTCTTGAATCATACTCAGCGTGTCTTCTTTCTCAATTTCTGTGAAAAGTATGATGGATCTTCCGCTGTGTTTTTTCTTTGTTTAAGAATTTCGTGTGGTGTTTAATGCATTCGTGATGATGATTTCTCTATTTTCTGTTTGTGGGTTTCAGTAATATAACGATGCTCTGTTTGTAGGTTTCAAAAATATATCTACAGTTGATTCTTTAGTTATCAATGTGATTTTTTTGTTTTTATGTTTTTTGGTTTGTTGGTTGACTAATTTCATGGAAGTCCGAGTTGATGTTATTACATCTACTTCGTTCTCTTGGTTATCCAATTATTTATTTGTTTTTTAATTTTTTCCAATTCTGATTTTCCATATTCTTTTGGCAGAACTTGTTGAGAAGTGCTTCAAGTGAGGGGTAAATATGTCCAAATAAATGTAAGTAATAGTTTAAGATGTGAAAAGGAAAAGGTCAACCCGCCACATCAGCAACAACTAACGGAATGGAAAATGAGGGGTCATTTTGTTACGTTTTGTAGTTCAGGGAGGTGTTTGCGACCAACCCCATAGTTCAAGGGTGCAAACTGTATTTTCCCCTTAACGGAATGGCAAACAGAGGGATTGATTTGTTACATTTTATAGTATAGGGGCTGTTTAAGACAAGCCCCATAATTCAGGGGTGCAAACCGTACTTTCCCCTAAAAAAAGTTTGCCAAAAAAAAAAAAAAATCAATATTGCTTATTTATTAATTTATTGTCTCTACACGCTTTTGACTGAGTCTTTATAATCATCTGAGTGTTATTAATGTTGACTTATGACTATTAGTGTACATATGATATTAATACCTTAATTTTTTGATAAGAGCAACTCCAATGGAGAGACATCAAAATGGAGCATTAAATATACATTTGATACTTGATATAATACTTTGATACTTCTAGAAAAAAAATTCACTCCAACCACAAGTATCAAATAGATTATCAAATTTTAAATATATAAATAATTATATTATTAAATGCCACGTGGCAAATTGTGATAGGTTAATAGAGTGGTTACATTTTTGATACCTCATTTTCCAGGGAGTATTTTTGCACCTCGGGGTGGTTGAATATCAAAATAGTTCTCCATTTAATGCCTCCATTGGAGGAGGATTTTTTAATTTTGGAGCATCAAAGTGGTAGTTTTTCATTTTGATACCCCATTTAGTTGAGTTTGAAATCTTGAATTTAATCGGACAAGACGAATGTCAAAGATAATAATGGTTTGCTGGCATCCGATGTAGATCTACTAAATTTGATTTCAATTTTTTTTTCTTTTTCTTTTTTTGCTAAATTGTCACCTTCTATACATAATCTAGTTTATAAATACGTCCATATCTAGAACACTTATTTAGTACCCCTCCATTTCTCTCAATGGCTCCTTCAACTATTTCAATAGTCATTTTCTCCTTACTTTTATTCTCGTCTTATTCGAATGCTCAAACAACCCCATCAAAGAAACCCGAAGCCTTCACTTTCCCGATCAAGAAAGATGACACAACCAACCAGTACTACACCAACATTCAGTTTGGTTCAAACAGCACCAAACTGAATGTGGTGATCGATCTCGGAGGCAACTTCCTCTGGTTCAACTCCGAAGACTACTTGAACGCTGCATCGACGTTCCACCCGATCCCATGCGGGACCCGCAAATGCCGAATTGCCGAAGCCATAGGTTGCACCTTCTGCTTCCTAAAGCCCGCCCAGCCAGGGTGCACGAACAACACGTGCTCCGACTACTCCCTCAATCCGTTCTCTGGCACTTCAGGGTACAGCGGTTTGGGAGAGGACACCCTGCGCTTGCGCTCCGCACGTGGGGGCAACGTGTACGCGGTGGACGATTTCCCCTTCCAGTACGCACATGACGCTATGCTAGAAGGCCTGGCGGGTCCCGCCTCGGGCGTGATCGCCTTGGGCAGGACCCGGATTTCACTGCAGGCGCAGCTCGCGTCTGCTTTCAAGATCCGCGAGAAATTCACGCTGTGCGTCCCGCCAGCTGGCGGCGACGGTAATTTGATCGTCGGAGAGACGGCTTACAGCAAACCCTTTGAGGAAATCTCGAAGTCACTTGTCACCACTCGGCTGGTGAGAAATCCTGTGGGGCTTTTGGGGATCGATCTGATAGGCAATTTTTCGAGAGAGTATTACATCGATGTAAAGTCGATTAAAGTTGGTTCGAAGACACTCTCGTTGAACAAAACGCTGCTTTCGATTAACAAGAAAGACGGAAGTGGAGGCACTACCATTCGGACCGTGAGGCATTACACGGGTCTGAGCAAATCGATTTACAGGGTTTTGGTCAAAGAGTTCGCGAAGGCTGCCGAGTCCAAGAATATTACGAGAGTGGCTTCTGTGGCCCCGTTTGGGGCTTGTTTCGATTCGAAGACCGTTCTGAGCTCGAAGACGGGCCCACGAGTGCCGACTATCGATCTTGTTATGGAGAAGAAGAGTGTTTACTGGAGGTTTTATGGATCAAATTCAATGGTTAAAGTTAGTAAAGACGTGATTTGCCTTGCGTTTGTTGAAGGAACAATAAATGTGTCTGGACAGACGACGTCGATAGAAGTGGGAGGGTATCAAATGGAGAATCATCTGCTTGAGTTCGACGTGGCTTCTTCCAAGCTAGGGTTTAGCTCTTCACTGTTGCTGCATGGCACAAGCTGTTCCAACTTCGGAGCTTCCTAGGTTGACTTTGTGATGGGTTACGTTTCTTGGGAAAGAAAGTATTGGTCAAACTTTGAAGTTTCAGTTTTTCTTATTTACTTATGGTCACATTTTCTATGCATATCCTCTGCTTTTGATTGTTTTTTTTTTTTTTTTCTTTAATTTTTTTGAGTAACCCTGCTTTTGATTGTTGTTGGGTTGAAATGTTACTCCAAAAAAAAAATGTTAGAATGAATAATGATTTTATTTCTTGCTATTTGTGAACAAAAGCTATGGCTACTCATATTTGGGATAAAACAGTTTTTCCCCTCAAATTTGCACCGATTTCACATTTGGTCTCCCATATTCACAAAAGACACATTTGGTCCCTCATGTTTTAAAAATTCAAAAAATTTAGTTCTGTCATTTTCTCGTTAAAACTAACGGAATCAAGCGTGTTCCCATCACTTCCTTAACTGACGGACTAATGGTAAATCTAAATAGACGTAAATGACAAAAAATGCTAAATTATTCAAACATGAGGGATCAAATGTGTTTTTTTTGTGAACATGAGGGATCAGATGTGAAATCGGTGAAAACATGAGGGACGAAAATGTTAATTTCCCGACTCATACTTTTATTGCACTGATTGGAAATAAACAGACTCTTGACATAGCTATTACTGGATTGAAAAAAGAAAAAAGTGAATATAAACATTTATTACTAAATTGAGAAGGGGAATAATTTATATTTTCGAAATATAAAATAATAACAAATTTATTTCAAGAGAATATCACACTAAAAAAATGTGAAAAAAGTTGTTGCAAAGTTGGAGTTTGTTGAAATGTGCTGAAATCAACTGTTCTCCAATTGAATGTGGTGAAATGTTGCGAAGTGAACAAATGGCTTTCATAAAAATATAGTTAAACTTCTATAAATTAATTTACAAATTAATACAGTTGAAACTAATAAAATTTTATTGATTTAGCGAAATATTAAATTATTGAACTAATAATTTAGCAGGTGTTTTATTGAGTCGGGGTCAAAATAATATATTATTTAAGTGAAATTATTAATTTATTGAGTATTAGTCATTAGATATTAATTTATTGAGATACTACTGTTTATAGTATAATAAGGGTTGTTTTGGTCCCGGACATCCAACAGCTATATGGAGAGTGCCAAAGAGTTACTTGACTTTTGGCCCGTGGAGGGGGCATGTGTTACAATCGATATTTCAGAGGTATTCGAATTTTTTTTTTTTTTTTTTTTTTTTCTTCTTTTTTGTCAAAGTAGGTATTAATTATAAAGGGCATACTTGGAGGGTGTTATGTGTAATTAATCCTAAAAAAATAAGTATACAAAAATTAAAATTGTGGTCATATTATGATGTGAAATAGTTCATAAGTTCATATATAACATCAACTTTATGAAGTCCTTCACGGGAGATGGACTTTTTTTTATTGTTCTCCAAATGGCAACTAAACTAAAATATATAGACTATTGACAATTTTTTTTTCCCCAAATGAACGATGCAATCAACCATATTGGTGAACTGGGTAAATCTACGCCCCCGGGCGTATAAACTATAGACAATGTTCTTGAATACATGTATGGTAAGATACTACATAGAAAAGTTTATCGAGTGCACCGGCGGTACTAAGAGGGGGTCCAAGATCAATAAAAAAAAAATTAAGGTATTTTGTCATTATATTTTTTGAATATTACTTTTACCCCCAAAGTTTTTGTAAATATGCCTCTTTAACTCTTAATTTTTTTTAGTCTCCATAATCTTATATAAATTATAGATATTTATAGCATATTTAATAGAACAATATAGAATAAAACGTTTAAAAGTTGTATTATTTTAAATAAAGTTTATGAATATTTACTGTTTTCTTTATCAATGCCTCTAAAAAATAATATTGGCTGATGCCACAAATCCTCAAAATATTAAGCGATTTACATTATTAGAATAATTGGTATTGATTAGATTTTTTTAATGCTTGAAATATGATAAAATTACAATATATATGCTTTTTAATAAAAAAAAAAAAAAACAATATAAACATATTTTTGCAATGTCTTGTGAGCCTAATTTTTTTCCAGAGCGCTACCTTTAAATTTTGATCCTAATTCCATCCCTGACCGAGTGAAGTACAAAAACAACTTAACATTACATTAAATCCCTAAAATGAGTTTTAAAATTAGAAGTTAGATAACCATTTTAGAGAACTTCATTGACGCTGTAAATGAGCTTCAAAATAGAAATTATGTCCCAAATCTCTCAATATTTATTATTTATGTTGCTTTATATATTTATTTTTGTTCTTAAAAGAATTATAAATAAAAATAACTAAGGAAAAAGATATACATAATAATTAAGCTATAATCTATATAAAATATGAAATAATTCATAATTTGCTTCGCCACTTCACAAAGAGATTCGTAGTTGCATATGTGCACAAAATAAATATATAAGTATAATGCAATAACGTGCAATTAAAACACAATGCTACAAGCCAAGTACGAAGCTCGATCATGAATGTGTTATAGACAAGAAGAATTTAAATTGGGCTTTTACTGCCACTGTTATTAATCTATATAGTTATAACAGCTTTGACTATTCAATGCGGGTACACCGTACACATATCAAAATTCAAAACTCAACACTTTACAATGCACCACGCCAATACAACAGTTTATTGATTTAAAAATAAAAAACGCGCCTACCGACACGACCTTTACTGTCATAAATTCTTGACAAGGAAGAAGTGTTAACCTAATTAAAGCGACTTCTTGACTACTATTTAAAAATAAAATCTCAACTGCTGTCTTTATTTCTATTTTAACTAAACTATGACTACATATCGCGTGTGTGTGTGTCTATATATATATATATATATATATATATATATATATATATATATATATATATATATATATATATATATATATATATATATATATATATATATATATATATATATATATATATATATATATATATGTTTTACGAAGCACACCGCCACTTACTTCAAAATTGATGGTTGACTTGTATAAAATTACTAAACTACCCCTAATACGTTTTTAGTAATTTTCAGTTTTAAACAAAAAGAAATGAAAAAAAAAGATATCACACAAAACGGAGTAAACCAGCTTCTCCCCTCTTCATTGCACGTCTAGGAAAAGGAGAAAAATGGTTGCTGACAATGGTGGGTGGGGATTCCTTTTTTTTTTTTTTTTTTCTTTTCAGATCCGAAGAAAAAAGTGTTGCAACGGCCATTTTCGGCACACGGAAATTGTGGATTCAGAAGATAAAATAGCGGTGGTGGCATTGAAAGGCAGCGGCGGCGGCATGGTGGAATCGGAGAGTCGGCAAATGATTCTTCGAGTTTGACATTATTCTTCTTCTTCTTCCTGAATGTATGAATTAAGTTTTCACAAATTGAAAGAAAATGCTACGGAAATTGGAAGAAAGTTCTTTGAAGGGTTTTTGTATATTTTTTTGTTTGGGCAGGGATGTGCCGTTTTTCTTCCCTTTTGTTTTCTTGGATTTGGAATAGAAATGAACTTCATGTTGATATATGGATTTGGTTGATGGTTTTGGCTGGAAAAAATCATGGTGAAAAAGTGGAGGGCTACTCTTTAGGTTGAAGAAGATGGGTTAATTGAAAATATAAAGGACTAAATTGAAAATTTTAAAAACTTCATTTTGGTACTTATAAAATTTCTGGTTGCATTTTGGTATTTCGTGTCAAAAAACGAACCCCCACTTTCATCCATGGCGAGTGAAGTGCACGGTGAGCTCCTAAGGGCCTTATTGCCTTTAACTAATTTTTATAGGAGGTGTTTGCTAATTATTTTAACACGAGGTCGTTTTCAGCAATTCGAGATTACACAGGAGTGGTTTTTGCAAAAAACCCTATATATATATAGTTAGTGAGAAGTTATTTCATCATATCAACAGTTAATAATTACTCTGTGTATTTCACCACGTATATATCGCGGATCAAAGATCACTTCTGAGTTATAAAATAAAAAACACATGAAGTGCGTGAAATCAATTTGCAGCATGTTACTGGATGGATTAGAATTGATGGGTTTTGACTTCTGACCTTCAATCACTCATTCAATTTGAGTTGGGAATTTTGACTTCAATCCGCCATACAAATAAGATATCTACAAGATAAAGATGATGCTGATTAGCTGGAATGCTAACCCCTGGTCAAAGTCAACTCCAATATATCTAATCTCTAAATCTAAATCTAAATCTTTGCAGATATTCAAAAACTAAATACACCAAAAAAAATCAACTACAAATATGTACTGATTTATTTCAGAAAAAGAATAACAGTCACATTATTCCTTAAGGACAAATGGCCCCTTCAACTCTCTCAATCATCATATTATCCTCATTCCTCTTGTTTTCTCTTTCAAATGCCCAAACAAAGCCCCAAGCATTCACTTTCCCAATCAAGAAAGATGCCACAACCAAACAATACTACACCACCATTCAAGTAGGCTCAAACAGCACCACTCTCGACACTGTCGTCGACCTCGGCGGCAAATTCCTCTACTTCTACTCCGACGAGTACTTGAACGCGGCTTCATCGTACCGCCCGATCCTATGCGGGACCCGGCAATGCGAGATCGCAAACGGCGTCGGATGCATCTTCTGCTTCCTAAAGCCTCCCCAGCCAGGTTGCACCAACAACACGTGCTCCGACTATGCCCTCAACCCCTTCAGCGGGACACAGGGCTACAGCGGCCTCGGCCAGGACGTCCTCCGCGTGCGCTCCACGCGGGGTGCCCTGTACCCGCTGAACAACTTCCCGTTCCAGTTCTCTGATCCCGTCTTACGGGAGGAACTGGCTGGTCCGGCCGCTGGCCTGATCGGTCTCGGCCGGACCAGGGTCTCCCTCCAGGCGCAGCTCGCGTCTGCTTTCAAGATCCGCGAGAAGTTCGCGCTCTGCCTCCCGTCGTCTGCAGGCAGCGACGGGAACTTGATCATCGGAGACACGGCTTACGTCAGTCCGTTCGAAGAAATCTCCAAGAATTCATTTTTCACCACGCCACTCGTGAAGAATCCCGTGAGCACCGACATGAACGAGGTGATAGGCAATTTCACAGCGGAGTACTTCATCGACGTCAAGTCCATTAAAGTCGGGTCCAAGACACTCTCGTTGAACAAAACGCTGCTCTCGATCAACAAGAAAGACGGAAGCGGCGGCACGAGCATTCGTACGGTGAGGCCTTACACCGGTCTGAGCAGATCGATTTACAGGGCTTTGGTCAACGAATTCGTGAAGGCTGCCGCCTCGCAGAATATCAAGAGAGTGGCGGCTGTGGCTCCTTTCGGGGCGTGCTTCGACTCGAAGACGGTTACGACATCGAAGACGGGGCCCAATGTGCCGATTATCGACTTTGTCCTGCAGAACAAGGATGTGTACTGGAGGTTTTACGGCGCAAGCTCGATGGTTTTAGTGAGCGCTGACGTCATCTGCCTTGCATTTGTGGAAGGACAAATAAATTTGACGGGACCAACAACCTCGATAGTTGTCGGAGGGTACCAACTGGAGAATCATCTGCTTGAGTTCGATGTGAAATCTTCGAAGCTCAGTTTTAGCCCTTCATTGTTGCTCATTAACACAAGCTGTTCAAAGTTCGGAGCTTCCTAGGTTGTGTAACGGTCAACTTTGAATTTCGAGTTTTTATGATTGAAATGAAATAAAAGAATGACAGTCCCATGTATTTGTGAAGTGAAAGGCTTCCTCTGGATGAGCTTCCTCACTTTGATTATTTATTATATTGGAATGAAATAATGTATTTATTATGTTTTTGCCATCTTCTTTAACTTTATTAAGACTTCGAATGGGTCACTTATTTAAAAGGACAAAATGCACTTCACCCTCTATAAATTTGTCATTTTCGCATTTCCCCCTGAAAATTCGAAAACCGGATAACCCCTATTCAGAATATTATTTTGATTGCACTCTGCCCCAGAAGTCAAATTTTGATGGGCATTGTGCAACAAAAATAACATTTTAAAGGGGCAATGTGCAAAAAAATAATGTCTTTAAGGGGTAACATGCAACAAAAATAACATATGAAGGGGCAATGTGCAACAAAAATACTCAAATGCCGATGAAAAATCCATCGAAATTTTACTATCGGGGCAATGTGCAACAGGAACAATATTTAGAAAGGGGACATTCACTTTTTAAAATTTTGAGGGGGTAAAGTGCAAAAATTAGAAAATTTTAGGGGGTGATGTGCAATTTTCCCTATTTAAAAATAATAGGGAAAATTAGTTTGTCGTCAACCTCTCTCTGATTTGTCGTTTGTTGCTGAGTTGATTCATCTGTTGCACTCAAGAAGCTCTGCATTTCAAGAAAAAAATCCAAATTAGTTTATAAACTCAAACATCAAAAATTAGTCCAACAACTTATTGCCACAAAGACAGAAGATGCATAAGAAACGAACTTTGAAACAAAAGAACCAGAAACAGTGTCTACGATTTCTATGTAGTAGTATAACTTGAACAACATAATGCAATAAAAATGCATGAAAATAAGTCAGAAGGAAACCTTCAATAATTCAAATTAAAGAATCCCAAATATTATATTACCGGGTAACCTCTCCCTGAATCGAAACCATTCATATTAAGTGCAGTAGACAGAATAAAAAAAGAAATAAATAAAAAAGATCTAAATGTACGCGTTACTCGAATTTCTAGAATGTAGACTTATGACATTCAGTAAAGAACTAAAAGGGTACCGAACAATATACAAATCACAAGAAAACGCACCATCTACGGACGCTGCACCAAAGTGAAACTTGAGAAGAAATAAAAAATGCCAAAATGGAAACAGAATATCCCTCTGTTACAGAATTTATTTAATAAATAGTTGTAGTTAATTATGTTGCTTTGCTAGGTCGATCGCGTGGATGCATTTGACCTTCGCAGATTCCCAATTCCAGAAGAACCATTCAAGAGTTCTTATGTGCTTTCCATTACAAGTTGACTAATTAGATGCCAAGTCACCAAAACTTTATACAGTTGTATTTTTTTAATTTCTTGCCAAGTCCCCGTAGATTACGAAAGTCATCACCGATCAAAGATCATTTTCTCTCTCCCAAATTTCCCATCATTCATTTGTTTTACAACAGAACACAAAATTGAACCATGAATCTGGATCCACTGTCAATTGATGTTCTGTTGTTTCTTTGCCTTCTCATCAAATTCACAGCTGCATTTAGTAATCCAACTCAATTCACAGGTGATGTTTCGATAAATTGCGGTTCCATAGGCACTTCGATAGCAAACAATGGCAGGGGATGGATTGGAGATATACAACCAAAATCTTCTTCCTTGCTACAAATTAAGGGCTCATCAACCACTTCAACTGTCGTCCCTAAGTTGATCTCTGCCGATCCAGTTCCATATAAAACGGCAAGAATCTCTCAATCTCAATTTTCCTATGCATTCCAAGTGAGCTCAGGTGAGAAAATTCTTCGTTTTCACTTTAATCCGACTTCATATAAAGGTTTCGAAGGGTTCAAGGACTTGTTCACTGTTGAAGCCGGTCCTTTTACTTTGCTCAATAACTTCAGTGCTTCACTAGCAGCTGAAGCTCTCGGTGTTGATTCTTTTGTCAAGGAATTCTGTTTAAACATACAAGAAAATCAAGAATTAAATATATTTTTCTCTCCTGAAATTAGTCATTTGTTAGATACATATGCTTTCATAAACGGCATTGAGATTTTCACAGTGCCTGCAAGTCATTCTTACTTTGAAGGCGGAGATGTTGGGCTCCAATTGGTGGGCGAGAAGTCTCGGGTTTACATTGATTCCAGCACTGCACTAGAGATATTTCACCAAGTAGAGTTTAAGCAGAGCAATGTTCATTCTGCCGGAGATTTTCGTGGACTGTTTCCCAAGTGGGAGAACATAAATGCAAAGAGGAAAAACAATAACACATGGAAAATGCCTGTGGATGTGGGGTTCAAGTACTTGATCAGAGTTCATTTCTCTGAGTTAGGGCTCAAGATTGCAAGAAATGGTGATAATAAGTTCAAAGTCCTTATTAATGAAATGATTGCTCGAACGAATATTGACGTCGTTAAAGAAAGCAATGAAAATAAAATACTCTGGTATAGGGACTACACGGTGAAGGTGAGAGGAAACAAAAAGGAGGGAAAACGTGATATCTTGATTTCCTTGCAGTCATATGATGATCTTATAGACGATCAGGTACTTGTTTCAGGGTTCGAAATATTTAAGTTGAGCAACTCTGATAACAATCTTGCCAGTCCAAATCCTTCACCTCTAGCTCGGGATTCAGCTTCCAACACTATAACTCTATTCCTTTTTCTTTATCACAGAAATGCAATCGCAGATGTTGCAATAGCTATGATGTCTTTGGTGTGCATAATTGGTTATAATTTACGGGAAATTCGGGAAGCTAATATTACTGACGAGGAAAACAAAACAAAGCCAAAGCCGAAGCCATCGCCGTCGCCGTCGCCATCGCCATCGCCATCTGCCAGGGCTGAACGTACTTGTCGCCGTTTTTCACTGGATGAGATCAAATTAGCCACAAAAAATTTCAATGACGCACTACTAATTGGAAGGGGCGGATTTGGTGAAGTCTACAAAGGCCACATTGATAATAAGCAAACTACCGTTGCTATAAAGAGGTTGAAATCAAGCTCCAAGCAAGGTGCACAAGAGTTCTTGGCAGAAATCGAGACACTTTCTGAGCTCCGACATGTTAACCTAGTATCTCTAATTGGTTACTGCAATGAAGACGGAGAAATGATTCTTATTTATGAATACATGCCATGTGGAACATTGGCTGATCATATTTACAAACTTGCAGGGGAAAATAATACCTGCTCTTCTCTCACATGGAAGCAATGCCTTGATATTTGCATCGGAGCTGGTCGAGGACTAGATTACCTCCACACAGGCCATGGAGTCATACATAGAGATATAAAGGCTTCAAATATCCTGCTTGATGAAAATTTCATAGCTAAGGTTTCTGATTTCGGATTGGCCAAGCTTGAAAACAAAAGCAAGTTAAAGACCCACATTACCACGAACGTTAAAGGCACGTTTGGATACCTCGATCCAAATTACTTCAGCACTCATAAACTAACCAGGAAAAGTGATACATATGCCTTTGGGGTGGTGTTGTTGGAAGTATTGTGTGGGAGGCCCGCAGTAGATTTGAAGGTTCCAGAGGATAAGCGAGTTCTGTCCAAATGGGCACGAGATAAGATTAGCATGGGAGAAGCTGATCAAATTGTATCAGTTAGTTTGAGAGACGAGATTTCACCAAATAGCCTCACGACATTTGTTGGAGTTGCCCAAAGATGCTTATCCGATGAACTGAAAAACCGGCCAACAATGTCTCAAGTTGTGTCACAACTTGAGTTCGCGATCGAGCAACAGGAGACAAAACAACTTTCGAAAATAGCAGCAAGTGCGTCTAATGACAACCATTGTCTTAATAATGATAAAGATTGCCTATCATTTCAGACTGGTCAACCAACAGCTTTCTCTACAGAAGTGCGAAATATCACACCTCCTCCAAAGGAACAAACTAATAGCAATGTGGTTGTTGCTCAACTTCCACAGAATGATAACGATGGCCTATCAGTTCAGACGGAGCAACAAACAATTTTCTCTACAGCCGTGCAAAATCTCGCACCTCCTCCGAAAGAACAAACTCATAGCAATGTGGCTATTGCTAAATTTCCACAAAATGATAACAATGACCTATCAATTCAGACGAGGCAACCATCAATTTTCTCTACAGTTGTGCATAATTTCACACCTTCTCCAAAAGAACAAACTAATAGCAATGTGGTTATTGCTCAGCTTCCACGAAATGACAATTATGGCCTATCAATTCTGACAGAGCAACCAGCAGTTTTCTCTACAGCTGTGCAGAATTTCGCACCTTCTCCGCAAGAACAAACTATTAGCAATGTGGCTATTGCTCAGCTTCCACTCAAGGGAAATGAATTGCCATCAATTTCAGGTACAAATTCAATAAATGGAGAAAAAACAAAACTTGACTATTCATATCTTAATATTCAAACTTGTTATGGTCTAATTTAATGTGCTTCTGATGTTACCTGAAATGTAAAACTGGCAGAGTTGGATTTGGATACAAGTACACCAGCCATCAGTGAATCTTGTTCTACATGGAACTTATGCAGACTTTTCTCGTTCAATGAGATCAAAGCCGCCACAGGCAACTTGGATGACAATTTCATCATCGGCAAGGGAAGATTCTTCAATGTGTACAAAGGGTTCATCGAGGACACCGCCACCACTACCACCGTGGCCATCAAAATAGTGAAAATGTCGTCGTCCTCAGGTGTCCGCAAGTTTCTAAATAGAATCAAGATGCTGTCGCAGGTAAGGCACCTCAACTTGGTATCACCAATCGGCTACTGCGACGAGGGCCAACAAATGATATTAGTCTATGATTACATGGTGCATGGCAGCTTACATGACCATCTCTACAACTCAAAGAACAATATAACATTAACGTGGAAAAGGCGCCTCCAAATTTGCTTAGGCGTTGCCGTAGGATTGCACTACCTTCACATGGGCAATGAGTACAACCCCGTCATGCATCGCGGAGTCAACTCCACAAACATCCTACTGGATGAGAAATGGGTGGCCAAGGTTTCCTTCGGGCCAAGGTATATCGAACTACGACGGTCGACAGCAGAGGACGACGTGCACTACATGGGCGTGGTGTTGTTCGAAGTGTTATTCGCCAAGCCAGAGGAGCCGATAAACTTGGACAAATGTGTTGAATTTTGTAAAAGGGAAGGGACACTTATGGAAAAGGTTCAACCATTACTTGGGGACGACACAAAACCATATATTGATTCTAATCTGTACAATCAAATTGCCCCTAAATGTTTGAATAAATTCGTCGAGACAGCCCTGTCATGCATAAATGAAGAGCAAAGTAAGCGGCCGGCAATGAACGACGTTGTTCGGAGCCTCGAGTTCGCGATGCAGCTGCAAGTGGCGGAGGATAAAGGCGGCCGCACAGCTTCCCTTCACTGAGCCTTCTTTCCCGCACCGGGTAAATCTCCAATCTCGCGAGCAATCTTGAACTAAATCTCATAAAGAATTTAGGGTTTGGAATACGGAAAATTGGGAAATATGTAATTTGGAGCATTTCTTAGAAATAAATTAGGGATTTGGAAAATGGAAAATTGTTTGGAAGAAAGAGGACAGATGTAAATCGCACATGTCATATGCAGGGTCTCATTTTTTTCTTTCTTGCGTAAAGTTTCAAGTAGGGAATGAAATTTAGCCCTATTCAGTATTTGAGCAGTCATTTGTTGAAGAACTAAATGTTACATATAGTTGAATTTATTTTCTGCTAACATTATTGTAAAAGTAAAAGAAATGGATTTTGAAATACAATTCACCATATTAAATAATTATTATTCGTCAATTTGTTATGTAAAACGAGGGTTGCTAATTCAAATCAATTAGTAATATCTCTTGCCAATAAATCTTGAAATAATAGAAAAACTTTGAAGTAAGCAATTATATATGTAAGCATGAAAGCTGTGAAGTAAAGGGATAGCATTACCTGACAGACGAATCCATTTAGGGATGAGGTTTCAGATGAAGTACTATATCTATGTTGATCTTCAATCAAGAAGCCTCTTTTTTTTTTTTTTCACTGCGTCATTTCTTCAAACACCTTGACTACATTTGCCGAAGATTCACAATTCACCAAAGCAGTAGCCAAGCGACGCACTCTGTAACGCAAAGATCACTGTATGTTGGGGAAACCAAAATCAAATCCGACAGTATCTTTATGCCCTGCTTGTTTTAATGCCTGGTTGCAAAGTTTTTGACATCGTGATAAAACTATTAAATTATTATTAGATTATTTTGGTGGGGGTGGGATTAATCAGTTTTTATTAGGTACGGCCTACTACGCGTACACAAATGTGTCCCCAAATGACTCGACTCGGCCAGACAAAATATTTGAGACAAGTTGAACTGGAACAGGTTGGCCATTTTTATTTTATGCTACATCGGGTGAAATACACCGATTAGATCTTTACCATTCATACACACACAAACACACGCACATCTATATTGGTGTGTGTAGATCAACGGTAAAAAAAAACCCAGGTGTAGGTGTAGTCTTCATCGGGTGTGCATAGAAAATAACCCGGTCGGCCCTATTTGCACCGGCCTATTAGGACTTGGGAAACAACCAACAAGAATTAACAAGATTTTTCTAATGTAGATAAAATTTCGAGATACTTCGTTACACTTAGAGAACTCTTCATTTTAATCCACACCAAGTAGGGGTGAGCAAAAAAACCGAGACATAGAGAAACCGAAACGAAAATCGAAAAACTTGAGCCGATATGCACTGTCTCGACTTAAAACATCATATACGGTAATTTCTTTTTGAAAAGTCGAAAATATCGGTTTGTGTATGGAGAATAAAAAGAATTACCGAGCCGAATCAATTTATACAAAACGATGTCGTTTGGATATATAGTATAAATATTTACCGTCTTCCCCTAGTTTGCCTCTATCCTTCGAACGCCTCGATTTGACATGTTTTTTATTAGTTAATATTGGATTGTGACATGTTTTCTATAAGTTAATTTTGAGTTGTTATTTGTTAATTTTCTCAAACAAATGTAATGAAATTCCAAGTTCACTGTTAATCAAATATCGGTTTTATGCCAAATCGATAGATGAAATCGAAACAAAAAATAAACCGAATTGATATCGAAACCGTTAACCGAAAACCAAAAAACCGATTAACACCGAACCGAAAAAAACCGACATGTTCGGTTCTTAAAATATGAAAAACCGATATTATCGGTACGTGTTTGGATTATTGCAAAAATCGAGTCGTACCGACCCGAACACACCCCTATGACTAAGTACTTTATATCTACATTTAAATATGGGTAAATTACGAAAAACCCCCGTGAGGTAAGGCCTATTCACAAAAAAATCCCTCATGTTTGCGTGATTACGAAAATCCCCCTAGTGTTCGACCGGTTTCACAGAAAATTATTTTATCCGTTTTGCCCTTCTGTTATTTGAAAAATAATAAAGAGTGAATTACGAGAACCCCCCTGCGGAAGGTCTCATTATGAAAATTTTCCCCATATTTGCGTGATTACGAAATCCCTCTAAGGTATATTGTCGTCTTAATGTTACAAGATATGTTTTAACTCTTTTTCATATATATTTTCAATTTTTGATAAATAATAAAGAAATACATTATACTCTTAACATTAAAGATAAGTACATTTTTTTAAAATATATTGCAATTTAACTCCAAAAAAATCAGTATACTTATAGTTACCCTTCGATTCGAAGACTATTACGAGCTCGAAGACGGGCCCACAAGTGCCGTCTATCGATCTTGTTATGAAGAACAAGAATGCTTATTGGAGGTTCTATGGCGCAAACTCAATGGTTAGAGTTAATAATGATGTAATTTGCCTTGCTTTTGTGGAAGGACAAATAAATCCGAAAGGACAACAACCTCAATAGTTGTAGGAGGCTATCAAATGGAGAATCATTTCCTTGTGTTTGATGTCGCCGTAGATAAATGAATTTTATCCAAAAGAAAGGGACAATTGTGCAATTACGAAAACAAGGAATTCTATTTAAATTCTATGGCCTATGGCAATTCCGTAATTAAATATTAAATACAAATCAAATCAAGATTATATTCCGTATATTAATATCAATATTTAAATATCAATTACATATTTTCTATTTTAAATTTAGGGATTTAATTAAATTAATTCCTAAATTAAATAGATAATTGATTTTAAATATATTTGCCAGTAGAATTATTTATTCTCTTCCAAATTATAAGAGATAAATATCAATTAATTATTGGCCAATAGAATTGTTTCTTCTCTTTCAAGTTACAGGAGATAAATATCAATTTAAATCAGGCCAATCAAATCGCGCCACGTCATCAAGAAGGCCCATCAAGGACTCTTATTCTACCACTATAAATATGGATCCTCCCTTCACAATTCGAACACAACTGAAGAAGCAGAAACCGTAGGAGCAAAATTCTCTCTACAATTCAAGAAGCAGGGAAGAAGAACTCGTAGGAGGTAAGATTCTCTCTCTACATTCAAAGTGTTCTTCGTCAAATTCGAGGTGTTCTTGAGCAAATTAAAGGCGTTCTTCATCAAATCCAGCGTTCGATCTGATATAACGGTGCCAAACCTTCGAATTAACGTTAATCAATTCAAGTCAAGATCATTGGAAGATTGAAGGACCAAATCCATCAAGAATTTCAAGATCTTCAAGTCAAATTTAGTCAAAGTTCAACGTTCGATCCGAGATTCAAGTCGCAAGACCCTTGGAAAACGTTATTCAAATCCAAAATCAAATCCGGAGAAGATCAAGTCAACGACCCGACTCCGAAAATTCAAGTCAACTATATATTGTTCTAGAGAGAAGAATCACATGATTAAAATAGAGATTGTAACCCGCAATTTATTTATTTTAATTCAATAAAACTATATTTGTTCAATTTTTCTTGTTTGTTTATATCGCAGATAAGAATTTGTTGTTACAAATTTTGGCACGCCCGGTGGGGACCTCTCTACCTCTCATCTCTTCTCTCTCTCGAAGATCCTCGAAGAATTGCGGTAACTGCTCTATGTTCGCGATGAAGGCTGCTACTTCGAATTCATCAAGTGTGGGCGTAGTTACAAGGAGTATAGCTAAGAAACTGCAGGCATCCTCTGAGACTAGCTCGACACCGCAAATCATTGAGAAAGGCTTATCACCTATCGTCGACACAGGTGAAGACGTGGAAGGATCTAGAGGAGAAGCTTCATCATCCACATCCCGTTTAACATCAAATTACTCTGAGGCGGCCCCCGTCATGACAACACATGCTACGACCATGGAGGAGCAAATGGCGATCTTGACCAAGGCCATTGAAGGGCTAACAAAGCACATTCAAGAACAAGACTCCCAAATCGCGATATTGAGGAACAAGGTTGACAGTAGTCACGACATGGGAAAACAAGGTGAAAATCATACCGAAGCTCAAACTTCTACAAGGCAACTTCCAATCGATAGGGAGAAGAGCCCGGCTGAAGAATTCCAGATTTCGTCAGAGGGGTTGATTCCTATTGACCAATTGAAGGAGTTCATCATGGGGACTATTAAGGACAAATTCGATGAGGGTTCAAAATCGTCGTCAACATACACCAAGCCATACACTCTAAGAGTAGACGACTTGAAGATGCCAATCGGTTACCAAACTCCGAAATTTCAGCAATTTGATGGCAAGGGCAACCCAAAACAGCATGTGGCACATTTCGTTGAAACTTGTAACAATGCCGGGACTTTCGGAGACTATCTCGTTAAACAATTCGTCCGATCATTGAAAGGGAATGCTTTCGATTGGTATACGGACCTAGAACCGAACTCAATTGACAGTTGGAGTCAGATGGAACAAGAATTTTTGAATCGCTTCTACAGCACCCGAAGAACAGTGAGCATGATCGAGCTCACAAACTCTCGCCAGTGGAAAGAAGAGGCCGTCATTGACTACATTAACCGTTGGAGGAATTTAGCCTGAATTGCAAGGATCGATTGTCAGAGGCTTCAGCTATCGAGATGTGCATTCAAGGAATGCAATGGGGACTCCGATATATCCTGCAAGGGATTCAACCAAAGAATTTCGAAGAGTTGGCCACTAGAGCGCACGACATGGAGTTGAGCATTATGACTAGTGGAGTTGAGGGACCACCAGTTCAAGAGCCTCGACAGTCGAAAGAAAAACATGACTTTTGGAAGGGGGGTAGAGTTTTCTCTAAGACCTCAAGCAAAGAATCTTTGGCAGTGAATGCAACCCCTATCAAATTTCAAGGAAAAGTGAACGGAAACAATGAGGAAAAATCTCAAAAAGAAATGCAAGCAAGGGAATATCCGTTCCTCGACACCGATGTGGCTGGAATATTTGACGATCTGCTAGGTTTAAAACTTATCGAGTTGCCTGAAATGAAGCGTCCCGAAGAAGCTAACAAGACCGATGACCCAAA